GGGAGGAGGAGGAGGCGGAGCACAAAAAAAGGCGCACCGCGCGAGAAGTTCGCCTGCCTGGACCACTCCCCGAGAGGGGGCTCTCGAAGCAGGGGCCACGAGGAGCCAAGCCGAAAGCTCGGGCCTCTCGGGCACCACCCGCGAGGGGACCTTGAACGACCAGCGCGCCGACCATGGCAAGGCTTCGGGCTGCGTGCACAGACAGTGAAAGGGGCCCCGGGACGCGCAAATATAAATACACCCATTTTCCCGTAGATTTTCTGGGCGTTTGGGTCTTCCCCCCGCCACTTCCCATAGTTTCCCATGTCTTTTTTTTGGGAACATCGACGATTCGTTGTGTCTCTGTGTGTGTTTCTTCCCCTCCTGAGGTACCGCCACTTCCCATACGTTCCCAGCTTTTTGCTTGAAAGTCGACGATTCCTTGGGTCTGTGTGCGTTTTTTCCCCTCCTGAGGCACCAACACTTCCCATACTTTCCCAGATTTTTGCTCGAACATCGACGATTCCTTGTGTCTGTGTGCGTTTTTTTCCCCTCCTGAGGCACCAACACTTCCCATATGTTTCTTCTAGATGCTTTCCTGAACATCGACGATTCGTTGTGTCTGTGTGTGTGCTTTTTTTCCCCTCCTGAGGCACCAACACTTCCCAGATTTTCCTATATATTTTTCATTGATAAATCGGCGACTCATTGTGTCTGTGCGTGCTTTTGTTCCCCTCCTGAGGCGCCAGCACTTCCCCATATGTTCCCAGATTTTTGCTTGAAAGTCGACGAGTCGTTGTGTCTGTGTCTGTGTCTTTTTTTCCCCTCCTGAGGTACCAGCACTTCCCATACTTTCCCATACTTTTTCTTGAAAGTCGACGATTCGTTGTGTCTGTGTGAGTGTGCTCTTTCCCCTCCCGAGGACCAACACTTCCCATATTTTCCCAGATTTTTGCTTGAACATCGACGATTCATTGTGTCTGCGTGTGTGTGTTTTTTCCCCTCCTGCCTTTTCCTTTGTGCTTTTTGCCCTCCTGCCTTTTTCCCCTCCCTTATGTCCCCGTCTGTGTGCTTCTTGTTTCCCTCCCGTGTCGGTGTGCTCTTTTCCCTCCTGTGTGTGTGTGTGTGTTTTTCCCTCTGTGTGCTTTTTGTTTCCCCCCTGTCTGTGTTTTTTTTCCCAGCCCCCGAGGCGCGGAGCGCCCGCCCCGGGAGGGGCGCCGCCCACGGGGCGGCGCCCCGGGACGGCGCGAGGGCCGCCCGCTGGGACCACCTCGGGGGGCCCGCGGAGGGCCCGCCGGGGCTGCTCGGAGGGCCCGTTGGGGGCCCGCCGGGGCTGCTCACCGGGCAGTATTTAATACATATATATATGTTATTATTAGTATTATGATTATTATGATTATTAGTATTATTATTATTACTAGTATTATTATTCATTATTTTTATTATTACTATTATTATTAATAATCTTATTATTAATATTATTATCATTATTATGATTGTTATTTTTATTATTATTACTACTACTAGTATTATTCTAATTATTATTATCATTATTATTATTATTATTATTTATTATTAATATATATATGTTTATATATATAGGATGTGTAACACATGATGAATTCATGAATGAATTGATGCGCGAACTCATAGCTGTGTTTCATGCTACCCATCGGTCGGAGGAAGCAGGTCGAAACATGAAGCAGGAAGGCGTTGGAACTAGATTGGGTTGCCGCACGCCTCCTGAAGAGGAGGGAAGAGGGAAGACCACTCGACTCTTGAAGTAGGAAGGCGCTGAAAGTAGATTGGAATCTGGGAATCCCAAAATACTTACTTTCAGCGACCGATGGGTAAATCCTTGCATTTTTTAATACATGATCCGCACGCGGAGCATGTATCAAAAACGGCACTGTACCGCCGGCTTCCAGTTGACAGTGCGTTTTGAGAGCCACTATGTGGTTGCACCTGTAGTGGATGATGCCGCGGCTGCCTGTCGAATTCGCAGGTCCGTGGCCGCAGTACTGCTATCGAAGCACTTGGCGGAACCGACTTCGGACGAAAACCGAAAAACATGTCTTTTCTAGTTTTTAAGCTGACCTTCAGGTCGGGCATGTCCCCCTACAGGCGGATTTTGGGTGAAGAATAAACAATACCCCCGAAAGTACTCAAAATTGTAAAAAATGCTCCCCAAAAAAATGGTCCCCGGAAGATGTGTTTACTGTTTTTGAAGATTCCCCCTGTAGAGGGACAGGCCCGACTTAAGACTACCTGGGGGGGGGCCTGTGCGCGCGAAGGCCCGAAGCCTTCACGGCCGACGAGGCCCACCTTTTGGCTCCGAGGTCTGCCGCCGCGCGAGCGCCTCAATCCCGAGCCGAGCTCCGCTGCTCCCGCTGTCCGCATGGACCCCGAGCCGAGGGCGACCACGCCGTGGGCCACTGGGCCCAGGACGGGCTCCTGGGTTCGGGGGCAACGCCGGGTGGGCATCGGCGCTCAGAGGGGGGCTCCACTTCGAGGCTCGAAGCTGTTTGATGCTCACGGAAGTCTCTTCCTCGGCCCTCGGTGCCTTCCAGGCCTCGGGGTGCCTTCCAGCGCCAGCGCCTCGCCGAGGGCGCTCCCGGGGGGGCCTGGATCGCCGCGAACGACCGCCAGAGAGCCGAGTTGTGAGCCGAACGAAAACCAAGGGGGCAACGATGGTGGAGGACTCAGGAGGGGATGGGATGCGTCAGCCCTCAAGCCGCCCATGGATCGCCGATAGGGGTGCCTGGATCAAGCGAACGACCGCCAGAGAGCCGAGTTATGGCCCGAAAGCCAAGGGGCAACGATGGAGCTGGGCTGGTGTCGCTCTCGCTGTGTATCTCTCGCTCCTGTAGGAGGGAGGAGGGACGAGGGAGGAGGAGGAGGAGGAGGAGGAGGAGGAGGAGGAGGAGGAGGAGGAGGAGGAGGAGGAGGAGGAGGAGGAGGAGGAGGGAGTGAGGAGGAGGAGAGAGAGGAGGAGGAGGAGGAGGAGGAGGAGTGGAGATGAGGAGGAGGAGGAGGAGGCGGAGGAGGAGGAGGAGGAGGACGAAGGAGTAGGAGTAGGAGGAGGAAGGGAGGGAGAGGAGGAGGAGAGAGGGAGGAGGAGAGGAGGAGGAGGAGGAGGGGAGGAGGAAGGAGAGAGGAGAGGAAGGGAGAGGAGGAGGGGAGGAGGAGTGAGGATGAGAGGAGTGGTATGAGGAGGAGAGGAGGAGGGAGGAGAGGAGGAGGAGGGGATGGGATGCGTCAACCCCCAAGCCGCCCATGGATCGCCGATAATTAGAGGGCCCGGCAGCCCGCCCCGCCCAGGAGCGGGCGCATTCGCAGGTGGGGCCCATCGCCGATCTCTCGGCGATCTGATGCTTCGCCGAAGCAATCGCGAGGCCCCCCCCCCCCCCCGAGCCAGTCTCCCCCCGCCCTGTCGCCCCCCCTGGCGGATGGTGTTCCACCTCGCGCTCCTCCGCCGGCGTCGCCGCCGCGTCGAGGCCGCAGGAGCCGAGGCAGCATGTCGGTGAAGGGGCCCAGGGACACACACACACACACACACACATGCACACACAAATCCCAGGATTCCCCAGATATGTTCACGCATTTTCTGGGCTGTCGTCTTCCCCCCCACACTTCCCAGATTTCCCCTTGTTTTCCTCGGGATCGACGATGAATTGTCCATCTGTGTGTGATTTTTTCCCCTCCTGACAGCCGAGTTCCCGACCGATGCCCGCCACTCGAGCCATCGCGCTGCCATGAGGAAGGCCGAACAGGAACGAAGAGGCTCTCCTGGCCGCCGGCGAGCCTCGGGCACGGATTCCGGGGCGGCCAAGAGGAGGGCGGCTAAGAGGGGGGGGGGGGAGGGCAACTCCTGGCCGGCGGCACGTGCGCGGCCCATGGGGGAGGGGCAGGGACGCAGTGAAGTGAGGAGGGGCGCCACGAAATCTGGGGAGATGCCATGGCCCACGCCGTCGTGGTGTCCACCCCCCCCTAGTCATCACCCCCCTCTGTGCCGCCCCCGACGGACGTGTGCCCCGCCCGGACCTGAGGAACGGCCGGACATCCAGAGCCCTTCCCGAGCCCAGCGTGGTCCTCGCTTCGGTGTCTTGCCTGCAGAGTCGCCGAGGCTCGAGAGGAGCATGCGCGCTCGGGCCTAGCCTCTCGACGTCCGCGCTGTGTTGCAGGGGCGAGGACGGGGGACAGGAGGGTCTGGGGCCTCTCGGGGGAGCCAGATCTGGCTGAAACTGGCCATTTCCCCCGAACTGCCCACCGCAGCATTGCAATCTGTTTGAAATCGCGCGATGTTTCGGCCAGGGCCCGCATGAAAAGCATCCTGCCATGGGAAATGAAAGGACAACAGTTCCTTTTTCCTTCAAGTGCACCAGGACCCCCGTGAGCCTGCGGGGAGACAGCGAAGAGGAGGAGGAGGGAGGAGGCGGGAGGAGGAGGAGCAGGAGAAGGAGATGGTGCAGAAAAGGAAGGCAAGCGGAGTGAGGAAGGGGATGAGGGGGCAGGGCTGCAGGAGGCTGCTTCGCTGCACCACCGTCGTTGCGAACGCATGACGTCATGAGCAACGTGCGCTAAGGCAAGCCCTGTTGTCAGCTGCCACTAAACAACATCATGGCAGGCCTCGCCCAGCCAGGCATCCCTGGGACCTGCCTGGTAGGTGGTGCCCAGGTGACAAGAGAAGGATGGGCCTTGTTTGTCTCCACAAGCAAACGTTACCTGGCCGAGGCAGGGCCAAGAAGTTGGACAGCACGACAGCAGCCGGCATCAGGCCTCAGAGTCGACCGAGCAAAAGGTTTTTTAGTGGACAACCCCTGTAGAGAGCGGGACCAGGAGGGAAGGCCAGAATGACCGTGCTATCCGCTGCTGATTGGTCCCGGGAAGAACTCCATGGGGGAGAAAAGCAAAAGCTGAGGAAAAAAGAAAGCCATGAGCCGTGGCGGGTGGCTCACTCGCCGTGCGATGCCAGACTGCCTGTGCCAGCAAAATAATAAGGGCCTGCCAACACGGCTAGCCTGAGTATCCTTTCCGCCGGCATGTGTTAGGCACGTGGTGGAAGTATGTCTCCTTTCGCCGCCCGCGGCGCGATTTGCAAGACGAGCGCAAACATCACCCGCCCTGCTCAGAATCACGGAGAAACGAATCATGATGCGAAGTCAGCGGCTGAGAGCGAAAAGCCATCGCCTTAGAGTGAAGGCCAGAGCTGGCGGGTGCAAACATGGCAACACTTCCACTGGGAGTTCTTTTGCGGGCCAAAAGATGCATGAGCGGTGTTGTCCCGTAGCTGTGGAGAGCCACTGGGAAAACCACTTGATGGTGTCAGCGTATGGAAAGCAGCGGTTTGCAACAAGTAAGGACGCCCCGCCCACTGGAGGGATGCCCCCGTGGGCCTTAAAAAAAGCAACACCGCCAAGAATCGAAGGTGATGCCTCCGACATCCCAAGAAAGGTCCGGCAAATGGAGCGCAGAGCGCAAGCAAAAGGCCACAGGCAACACGAGCGGGCATGATTTCGACTCCAGTCTTGAGACAGCCTGCCATAAGCCAGGCCGTGCAGAAATTCCAAGCTGGGTTCCCCTGGTAGCGCTCGCAGAGGCCAGAAGCTCCGTCGTCCTTGGGATTGGCCCCCGGCTGTGAGGCGACAATGCCTTGCGATATGAACCGTGGCCTGAACGATTGAGGCCGCCCCACGGCCTACGCGAAGTGAAAAGCTAGGGCGGCCGCGCCTTGCCTTGTCCAGGGCGGCTGTGAGGTGTACCGTATACATCTTTGTGCCACCACTGATCGAGAGAGGAGAGAAACGGAGTGATGAGGGAGGGGGGAGGAGGGAAAACAAGTAGCTCCCTCATGTTCATTCCTTTCCTCCTCCTCGTCCTCCTCCTCGTCCTCGTCCTCGTCCTCGGCCTCGGCCTCGTCGTCGTCGTCGTCCTCCTCCTCCTCCTCCTCCTCCTCCTCCTCCTCTTCCTCCTCCTCCTCCTCCTCCTCCTCCTCCTCCTCCTCCTCCTCCTCCTCCTCCTCCTCCTCCTCCCCCTGCACCACGACGGAGAGCAACTAGTAACAGGCCGCCGGAAGGCGAGAAGCGCCCAAGCAGCCCGGCCGCCTTGATCTTCGCGAGCTTCGAAGCGGCGCCGCCAGCCACCTGGCCCGACCCCACCCCTTCTGCCGGGCGCACGCCATACAGTCTGGGCGTTGACCCAAGGAACCCTAAATAAGGAACGAAGCCCCTTCTTCCCATAAGTTAGACTTCGATTTCCCATGGAAAACCCAACGCAAACTGTAAAACAATCAAGGAACACCAAGCCCCTCGCCAACGAGAAGGGTTCCTTCTTCAGCGCCCCGACTGTACACCGTTTGGAATGAAGGCGATGGTGCGGGCTGATCTCGCATGGGCACGGGGCCCGTCGACAACCCGCGCGCCCCGAACCATGCTTGCGCTCCCTCGATGCTGCCTCCCTCCCCCGCCTCCCTTTCGAGCCTTTCGGGCGCGGCCCAATGGTCTCCGCGAGACCGTGGCCGAGGCGGACGTTGCCGCAGCGGCGGCGCGCGGCGGGCCCGCCGCGACCGCACATAGATTTCTCCAAGACGGCCTCCAGAGGCCGAGGCAACACGGGGCCGAGGAGGCCCAGAGGGCCATGGGACGCACGGAGCCCGACGGCCCAGAGCCCCAGAGCTCCAGGGCAACCCCCGCCTCCCCCTCCTCCTCTCCGTCCCCGCATGCCCCCCCGCGCTCAGTAGGAACAGCGCCCCGCGGCCGCACCACCCGGACGCGTCGGCACGGCGGGCCGGGCGCGTCGCCCTGGAGACCTCCTCACCGTTCCTCGCCATCGCTCGGACGTCCACTCCCTGTGTTTTTGTTCGAATTTCGTGCGTTTTTTCGCCAGATGATCAAGGATGCTCCTCGATGGTCCTCGCCGAAGGAGAAATGCACACGTCCGAGCGATACCAAGGTTCCTGGTCCTGGCGCTTGAATTCATCAGCGTTTGCACGGATGCAGCGCCGCACCTGCCCCTCACAGCTGTGGGCCGATCGGGTTCGCCAGGAGGTCGGAATTCATACTTGCGTGGCCCGTTTGCTGCTCAGTGGCGGATGCTTGGTCGCTGCGGCGGAGGAACCAGTGCTCCGCGCCACTGGGGAATCATCGGGGTCAATTGGGGAGCGCACCGCTCCACCGAGGAGCCCTGGGGGCCAATGGGAACCTCTCTGGAGGCTTCTGCCTTTGATTTGTTTACCATGCGTCAGACGGCCCAAAGGGCGACCCGCAAGGCACGACCACGCGCATGGGCGCTGCACTGCTTCAAGTAGAACGCAGGGGGGCTTCTCAGAAGGGACCCGAAGCTTCCAGAGAGGCGCCGTGCAATGCAGGAGGGCTTCTTCTGACAACCACCATGCCATCACAGGAGGCAGCCCCGCTCGTCTGAGGACGAACCTGAGACCGAGTCTCTGGAACTTCTGTGAGAGAGGGATGATCGCGCCCGTGAGCCTATCCGCATATGCCCATCCCCTGGGGGACAGCGCCCGCGCTATGAGTCGGGATGCCACCCAGAGACGCGTGCGCCTTAAGGGCAGCGCACAGTGAGGTGAGAGGTAGACCTACGCAGGTATTGCCAGCGGCCAAGCCGCTCTATCGTACACATTGTGTGGATCGGAACGGAGCTGCGCCTCGTTCTTGGCGCGCCGACTACCGCCCCGCACGGCGCGCCACACGAGGTGGGGCGACGGACGGCGGCCTCCGCAGAATCCTGGGAGCAGAGGGGCTCCTTCGCGAAGGGGCCGGAGGCTTCCAGAAGGCTTCCGAGGAGGCGGGGGTGCTTCCGAGGAGAGCCTTTTCCCCGCGCCCCGCGAGAAGGCCGCCCCCCTCCCTCGCCCCAACGCCTGCTGCGCGCCCCGTGCCATGCTCCCGCTGGAGATGCACAGCGCTGCGCGCCGCGTCGGGGTGGCGAAAGTGTAGGATAGCAAAGTGAATCGTAAAGAATCAGCTGAATTAGCTGGCTCTCCTGGCGCCTCCTGGCGACGGGAGACGCCCATGTTTCGAGGAATGGGCCCCGCGGCGGGGCTGAAAACAGCTGCACGCGCCAGATTTCGTCATTCCCCCCTTTCTAAAGGCTTCCTAGATGGAGTCCGAATAGATGGGGTCGGAGGATCTCGCCAAATCGCCGACACATCGGCAATGCATCGCCGATGCATCGGCGATGCATCGGCCATGCACTGGCGACGTCGGCGATGCATCGGCGACGTCGGCGTGAGGAAAATTGGGCCCCGCATCGAGCCGCATCGCTGATGCATCGCCGATGCATCGGCGATGCTGCGCGATCCTCCGGCCCCATCCACTCCGACCCCATCCAGGAGGCCTGGACCTTCTCTGTCCTGCCCGTTCGTCCGGCCCGACCTGTGCGCGGCCGAACCCCCCCTCCCCCCCGCGCTGGAGTACGCCCCGTCTCGTCCCGACCGCCGCCCCCTTGGGAGTACGCCGTCCAAGCAGGGGCACCGCCCCCCCGCAGCTGCCTCGGGCGCGCGCCGGCGCCCTCTGGAGCCCGTGCGGCCAGAAAACGCGACCTCCCCCCAAGACGAGGCCAGGACAAAGATACAATCGGGTGAGGGTGGACCCCTGCGGTCGATCCTCAATCTTGAGCGGTCGTGGCATTCCGATCGTATCCCCCTTTCGTCCGAGCATGTCCGACCCGAGCAGTCGACCCCGTCCTTCTGTGAAGAAACCGTCCGGAGCCCTAGACCCTAGGATACGGCGAAGCCAGGCCGAGAATAACATCGGGTGCGGATAAACCGAGAATCTCTGAGAGCCGGCGGCTCTGGAGGATGTCTCGGGCGCCGCGGCCTTCCCAGAGCGTTCCAGAGCGCCCTGGAAGGGACGTGTCCTCGTCCCGGCCCCGTCCAGAGGAGTGTGCGCCAGAAGCGTCGAAGAGGAGAAGAGGGAAAAGAGAAATGACGTTTTCCCAAGCTCGGGTGCCTCTCTCAAAGACCCCCCGGCTCGTCGCTCAATTTTGGAGCCCCGTGGGGCCCTCTGGGCCTCGTGAGGGGTGCTCTGGGCCTCGCGCACGGACGTACAATGGAGGCCGGTCCACAAGAAACCCAACCCTGAGACCCCAGGACGTCCATTGATTTTTGGTGTGGGAGCGTCACGCTTTCCTTAGCAGAACCATCGAAGCCCAAGAAACCCAGGGCACCATGGAGGCGAGCAGGATGTTCCTTGGCAGGGGTTTCCACTGTACCCTCGTCCCAGCCCCGCTCGATCCCCTCAGGGTCCGGCAGGCGTCGCCCTCCTGTCGCAGTGCCAGGGCCGCCCACGGCGACAGCAAAGCCGGGCCCCATCTGGCCGACAGCGAAACCCAGACCGGCCGAAGTCAACAGGCCGCAACGTGCGGCGACATCCGAACCCTATACCCCAACCAACCATCGCTTCTCCTAAATCGACGCGAGGCGGGGGTAGGGCTCGGGTTTCGCAACGTGCTCGACGAACTCCGAACCCTGCCCCCGCCACCCATCGAATTGCCTGAAGCATTGATCGGCAAAAGAAAGGGTTCGCACTTCGCCGCCGGCGCCAGCGGCCTGGAAGGGCGCAGCGGCGCTGCAACGACACGACGGCCGACCGAACCGAACCGACCGATCGCAGCTCCTCCTCCCTCCTCCTCCTCCTCCCTCCTCCTCCTCCTCCTCCTCCTCCTCCTCCTCCTCCCTCCTCCTCCTCCCTCCTCCTCCTCCCTCCTCCTCCTCCTCCTCCTCCTCCTCCTCCTCCTCCTCCTCCTCCTCCTCCTCCTCCTCCTCCTCCTCCTCCTCCTCCTCCTCCTCCCAGTCGGCACAGCCGCACCTACCGAACCGCGAACACCCTTGAGAGCGCCCCTCTGCGAGGTGCGAACCGACGGTCAGGAACCTCCGCCTCGCGTGCCCCGGCGGCGGAGCCGGCGGCACGCTGCCCCGCGAGCGGACAGCGTGCCGCTGCACTCCGCGGGGCCGGAGGCGGGGGAGAGCTCAGGGCGCTCGGGGGCGGGGTCGTGGTCAGCGCGTCGCGCCGCGGCGTGATGGGCCGGAACCAAAGTTCCCGACCGCAGGGTGCGCCCCCGGCGCCTTCGCCACGCGCAGCTGGGAGAGCTCGGACTTCATCTCGTCGAGTTCCTCGCCGGGCCCGCGGGCGCGCTGAGGCGCGGAGGTTGGAGAACAATTAGGCAGCGGCCCCTTTTCTCCTTCTGCTGCCTCTCTTTGTCCTCCTCCTTCCTTCTGCTCTCTCCCCCCCTCCTCCTCCTCCTCCTCCTCGCCCTCCTCCTCCTCCTCCTCCTCCTCGTCCTCCTCCTCCTCGTCCCCTCCTCCTCCTCCTCCTCCTCCTCCTCCTCCTCCTCTCCTTCTTCCTCCTCCTCCTTATCCACCACATCCTCCCACCCCTCCGTCTGCCCCTCGTCTCCCTCGCCCCCCTCCTCATCCCACTTCTTCTTCCTCCTCCTCCTCCTCCTCCTCCTCCTCCTCCTCTTCCTCTTCCTTCTCTTCCTCCTCCTCCTCGTCCTCCTCCTCTTCCCCATCCTCATCCTCGTCCTCATCCTCCTCGTCCTCCTCCTCCTCCTCCTCCTCCGCCTCCTCCTCCTCCTCCTCCTCGTCATCATCAGCAGCAGCATCATCATCATCACTCCTCCTCGCCCTTGGTCATCCACCGTCTTCCTCCCCCTCCACCTCGTCCCTCCTCCCCCCCTTCGTCCTCCTACCTCCTTCTCACCCCTGCAGCTCCCCCGTCCTCTCCCTCCCCCTTCACATCCCTCCTCCCCCGGCCTAGGTGGCACCCCGAAGGCCGCGCGGCAGACGCGGCGCTCGGGGCCCACCTCCCTAAAGAACCGACCGACTTCACAAGAAACGTAAGCAGACACAGAGCAAGATGTCTGTGCAATGGTTTCGCCCCGCCTCCCGCGCACCGGGTCTGGCCCAGTCCGGGCCACGCGGCACCGCCCCAGAGAAGAACCCCGAGCCCAAACATGCGATCACGTGGGACATGAACGGCTGCCAAAACTCGCGTAGCGGCCAAAAGCGCTACAACATAGGCAGCCGCATCGGCACACGCGCGCTGCGAAGCCAGGAGATCGCAGTGCCGATGTTTGATTACATGGCGCATGCCGCGCATCATAACGTTGCTGCCCCACCACCAGCCCTCTGGGCGCCAGTGGTCTAACGAGCTCGTTCTGCTAACCCCCTTTTTCCCTTTCAGGGACAGGGTTGGGAGCGCCCCCTCCCCAGCCCCCCTCCCCTTGGGTCTGGAAGGGGCGTTCCGCGAGGGGTTGGAGCGTCCAGGACGACCCAAGATGGCTCAACAGGGGGAATTAGAAATCCCAAGATGGTCTCCAAGATCGCTCAAGGTAGCCCTGGTTGAATCAAGATAGCTTCCAACATGCCTCCAAGAACTTGCAAGACCGCCTCGGGACGGCATCGAGTGCCCTCCGAGCCTCCCAAGCAGACCCTCGAGAGGCCCAAATCCATCCCAAACCGAGGGAAGCAAAGAACAACAATGGATTGCTGTCTCGCTGGACCACTTCCGATGAGTTCGTCAGGCCTCCAGATGGCTCCTCCAACGTGGCCGAAGAGGGCCCCAGCAGGGTCCAAGAGGGGCCGAGAGGGGCCCAAGGTGGCCCCAACGGCGCCCAAGACCGCCCCAATGAGCGCCCCAAAGTGGCCCCAAGAGGCTCTTGTGAGTGCCCCGACGAGGGGGGCTTTGGACCCATCAGCTCCCACGGTGGCCCCTAAGAGGGCCCCACGTCTCCACACACAGGATGCAAACAGTAGGGGGCAAACAAACCTACCTCGCTTTTGGCCACCCTCGCTTCCAAGAGATGCCAGGCGATGCCACACTACGGCCTGTACTGGTCAGGCCTCTTGACGAGGAGGCGCGTGGTATGACTTGGTTTTGCCTGGAAGCGAAAGCGGGGTAGGTAATTCACGCTCTGATAACAGAGCAGCAAGGTGCCTGTCTTGGCTGCGTGTCACGTGAACTCCAGGAACGGGCGCGCCGCGGCGCGGAGCGTAGGCGACGCCGCCGGCGCGTCTGGGCGCGAGGCGGCCGCGGGAAGCCGGCGCCCAGGCCTGCAACCGCCGGGGGGCGGGAAGCATGCACCCGCTGCCCTCTCGCGGGGCGGAGCCAGAGGAGACTCTGGGGGGCCACATGCGAACCCTACCCCTGCCCCCCACGACTTCTGAGGGGGAGGGCGGGGGTCACTTCGCCGGGGAGCCCCAGGACGAAGCGAACCCCGCCCTCCCCCTCAGAAGTCGTGGGGGGCAGGGGTGGGGCTCGCAATGTGGCCCCCTGGACTCCTCTGCGCAGGGCGGAGCCGGAGGAGCCTCCTCGAGAGGCAGGCGCCCCGCGAGCGGCACCAGCCACACCACCGGGCCCGCCACCACCAGCAGCGGGCCCCCCCCCGAGGAGGCCCAGTCCGCCGCGCGTGCTCCGCGGCCGCCCTCGTCGCGAGGCCGCCGCCTCTCGCCGCCGCAGCCGGGGCCTCCGCCGGCCTGGCCGGCAGCGCCCCGGGAGTTCGGTGTCGGGTGCGTCGCGCCGTCGTCAGCAGGTCGTCTCCTCCTCCTCCTCCTCCTCCTCCTCCTCCTCCTCCTCCTCCTCCTCCTCCTCCTCCACCTCGTCCTCCCCTCCTCCTCCTCCTCCTCCTCCTCCTCCCCTCCTCCCCCTCCTCCTCCTCCTCCTCCTCCTCCTCCTCCTCCTCCTCCTCCTCCTCCTTTTCCGCATATCCCTCTTCAGCAGGGCTGTCAGACGCCTGGGGGTCGCCCAGGGGGGGGCCGCCAGAGGGGGGCGGGAAGTCGTTGTCGCAGTCGTGGTCGTCGTCGGCGTCGTCAGGGTCATCGTCGTGCTCGTCGTCGTCGTCGTCGTTGTCTGCCAAGAGGGGCCCAACACGCCCCCAAAGAGGGTCTCAAGAGGGGCCCAGGAGGCCCCCCAAAGCGTGTCCCCTTCCTTCTGCTGGCCTTCCTCCTCCTCCTCCTCCTCCTCGTCCTCCTCATCCTCCTACTCCTCGTCCTCCCCCTCCTCCCCCTCCTCCTCCTCCTCCTCCTCCTCCTCCTTTTCCGCATGTCCCTCTTCATCCTTCTCCCTGTTCTTTCCTACTCTGCTTCCGTCTCCTCCGTTTCGTTCGAGACATCCGCAAAGACAGATGCGGTTCACGGTTGGAGCACATGCTGCTACGCATCCCTGATCGGTGCAACACGCCTGTTGACTGTTTGGGATGGGCTGGTGGGGATACCCGAAGCGTCAAGCAGTCCTGATCTTCAAGCTTACAGCATGTGCAGCAGTGTGACGAATGCTGGGCGGGCTGTTTTCAAAATGTGGCTCTCGCATCAGCGCCGCGCACATGCGTCTTAAAAGTGTACCAGCGATTTCACGTATGGAGGGCGGGCGGTTTTCACAATGGGGCTCTCGCCTCGGCGACGGGCGCCGTCGTCGCAGCAATTAACAAGAGCGCTTCATGGATGGAGTGCGGTCCCGCTTCAGAATGGGGTTCTCGCCTGAGCGCCGCGCGCATCCGCCTCAAGAGTTCACAGCAATGTCAAGGATTCTGCTGGTTGACGCCCCTGAATCGGTGTCCCGGCCAGATGTGAGACTGCCACGGCGCAACAGACAGTCTGACTCGCGGTGGTGAAATCCCATGCGTGGCAATCTGGCACGATTCTGGATCGCCAGGACGCAGCAGTGACGTTGATTCGCAGCGTTACGTTGAAGTCCCAGGAATAGTGTGTTGTCACGGTTCAGGATGTTCAAACAGTTGTCTTCCAACAGGGTGCTTCTATCACCGGAAGTAAGTCCTTGTAGGGACCCGTGGCGAAAGAAGTTGGAGGGAGCGCTTTGTTTGCAACATCGTTGATGATACTTGCGTTTCCACTGGTCCTTCTCCTCCTCCTCTTCCTCCACCTCCTCCTCCTCCTCTCCTCCTCCTCCTGCTCCTGCTCCTCCTCTTCTTCCTCCTCCTCCTCCTCCTCCTCCTCCTCCTCCTCCTCCTCCGCCTCCTCCTGCTCCTGCTCCTCCTCTTCCTCCTCCCCCTCCCTCCTCCCCTCTTCCTCCTCCTCCTCCTCCTCCTCCTCCTCCTCCTCCTCCTCCTCCTCCTCCTCCTCCTCCTCCTCCTCCTCCTCTGCTCGCCCGCCGATCCTTCAACAGCTCCTTGGAGGTCTTCGAGCGGAGCTCGTAGGCTTTGACGCGCGCCATAGCTGGCGGGGCCTGCCAGGTGCGGGCCGCGCACTCGCGTCGCCCTGCGCCCTTGTCCCCCCCCCCTCCCGGCCCCTCGAGGGGGAGGGGCAGGAGGAGAGGTGGGGCGGGGGAAGAAGGATGGAGGGAGGAAGGAGGAGGAGAAGGGAACAGGGGAACGGGAGGAGAAGAGTTACCAGCCTGGAACATATCCCTATCCCTATGCTGGGCACCTCCTCATCACGATGCCAGTCTTAGGGATTCCCTTATTTTTTGAGGGCGGATCCCTAAGATTGTCATCGCCTTTTGGCGTGTCAATCTTAGGGATGGGGATACGTTCGAGGCTGGTAAAAGAGAGGACGAGGGGGAAAAAGAGGTGGGGGAAGAAGAAGCGAAGAGGAAGCAGAGGAAGAAGAAGCATACGAAGAAGAAGAAGAAGAAGAAGAAGAGGCGGGAGCGGAATCGGAAGAGGAACCAGCGACGACGCAAGACGCAGTCAGCGCCAGTGCCAATAGGCCGCCAAGCTCCTGCCACGCTGCTCACATCCCCCGTCGGGGGCTGAAGGGCCCGACCCCACGGACAGCTTCAGGTGGGCTCCTGCAGCGCAGCTGCTGAGCCTACTGGATGGCAGCGTGCGCGCAGGGGGTCACGCGGAGCTGAAAAGTGTGCGATGGGAAAACCTTTCCTCCGCGACCCTCCGCGCAGGCAAGGAGCACCAGCCTGCCTGGCTCAAGCGCGGCGCGCGGCGCGCGTCAAACCAGCCTGCCTGGCTCAAGCAACTCCACTATATATAGAGAGATATGTATAGATAGCAAATCGTGCCACGACCCGGCGCGGACTCAGAACAGCGCAGCCAGCCGAAGTGGAGGACTCCTCAGAAGTCACCATGATGCCTGCGCGCGCCCGTACCACCATGCACCTGCGGCTGTGCTGTAGAGCCCCCAGCCTCCAACCAGCGACAAGGTGCATGATGGTACGCCATTGCCGCGCACCTGCGGCTGGGCGGAAGAGCCCCACATCCGACAGGCAGTATTGGGGATAAGCCTCGGGATGGCAGAGCCGCCTTCAGGAGTCAAAGCGTGCAACATCTCAGTGTGATCTGCAAGAGCATAGCCCTTCCACGATGTATAGGTGCACACATGTCCAGGCTCCACGTGGATTAAGGATGTGTGCGGCCGGTGGAGCCGAAGCTTGCAAAGTGCGCCAGCCTGTGCACGCTCAGAAGTCACCAGTGCACCTGCTGCGGGGCGGTAGACACCTCCAGCCTCCGACAGGCAATACCCAATGCCGCTTCGAACGAACGTCACTGCGCCGCCAATATATTTATATATACATATATATAGATATGTATACATAGATATGACACCGGAGAAAAACCCCAATCAGTGGATGGTTTGAACATGCGTGATATGGATATTGAGGTCGATTGTGAGATCGACAGTGGGATCGATAAAGAGGACGACTGTAAGGTCGATCGTGAGACCGATAGTGAAGTTGATTCAATGAGATCGATCGTGAGATCGATAGTAAGATCGATAATGAGATCGATAATGACATCGATTATGAAATCGATAGAGACATGGGTAATGGGATCGATGGCGAGACCGATCGATAAGAAGATCGACCAGGAACCCAAAAACCTGGGACCCCCGCCGCCCACCGAAATCGGTCCGCAATCCGGAACCAAGAACCTGGGAACCCGGGAACCCGGAACCAGGGACCCGACCCAGCCTGCCACCGAAATCGGTGGGAAACTTTCGCCAAATCTTTCAACCTTCGCTAGGACCCCCTCAGTGCGAGCACTGATTGGGGAATCTATATATATACACATACACAAACACCCTCCGACGAACTTTGCATGCACCTTCCGGGAGGGTGGCGGTGTATAAAATCGCTGGCTCGCTCTTCCCTAAGGCCCAGGAACAATCCATTCGAGGGTGTCCGTGTGTACATTTTCGCGGCGGAGTCACCCACAAGCACCTGCGGCTGGGCGGCGGAACCTCCCAGCCTCCAGCAGGCAAGAGTGGAAGTGAGCGAATGATGCTCTCCCAACGGACCACAGCGTGCAGCAACGCAATGCGATGTGCAAGATCATCGCCCTCCCTCGCTGTGAATCTACGCGGTCTGCACAGCAAGGACGAAGATGCACAGCCAGTGGAAGTGGAACACATCACGGAAGATACTGACATTAAGTCGGGCGTGTCCCCCTACAGAGGGATTTTCGACGCAAAATAAAACATACCCAAAAAATAATCATAACAAAAAAGTCTGGGGACTATTTTGTGAAGATTGTTGGACCTTGTTGGGGGGTATTTTTGGTGTATTTAAAAAAAAATTCGTCGAACATCCCCCTGTAGGGGGACACGCCCGACTTCATACTGACAAGCCGACGCACGCCGCTGTGCCACAAGGGAGCCGCGTGCACAAGAGGCCACCGCCGTGCGCCCGCGGCCGGGCCGGGCGCCAGGGCGCCTCGGCCTCCGACGGGCAAAAACCACCGAAGGGGCCCCAGGACACACAAATAAATACACACGAATAACAGGATTCTCCATATTTTCACAGATATATATATATATATATATATGTACATATATATATATATATATTCTGGGTTTTTGTCGTCCCCCCCACTTCCCATATTTTCCCATATTTTCCTTGGAATCGACGATTAGTTGTGTCTGCGTGTTTTTTCTCCCTCCTGAACCACCTCGGAGCAGCACAGGTACCTTGCACCTGGAGCTGCGCGGAAGACCATCCCGCCTGCCGCCGGGCGTTCTTCGGCGTGGGAGGATCGGGCCCCGAGGGAAACGGGTCCAATCTTCCATGGTGCTGGAGGTCTGGGCGAGTGCCACGCGGGACTGGTAATCAGCGCAGCGTGTCCTTGATTTAGCCGTGGGGTAGATGCTTTCCGCTGTCCATAATCCACTGGACCGAAGATGGGGACATACGTGTGTGCTTGTGTGTGCGCGCGCATGCGTGTGTAAATGTGTGCCTGTCGATAGCTGGCAATGTGTCCGGCTGATGGCGACCGTCGTCCCTGCTGGTGCGCCCCACCGCGCAGACCGCAGCCGTCGCTCAACAAACAAAATATTAGGGATCCGACGCTGTCAACCCTGTTGTGGGGCAGGCCTGTTCGCGATGGGTCGACCGATCAGGGTTTAGGCTCAAACTATTTGGGAACCCTCTCTCGGCGGCGAGCGAGGGGGGATAATGAGAGGGAGAGGCCTTCTGAGAAGACGGCGAGGCTTCTCAGAAGCCCCCCGGCCTTCTGAGAAGTTTCTGTGTCTTCGGGGACGGCACAGAAAACTTCTCAGAAGGCCCGAGGCATTCCGAGCCTCCTGAGAAGGCCTCCTCCTTCTCGCTTCCCCCCCTCGCTCGCCGCGGATTCTCTGCCCCGCATCATATCCGAGACCACCCTGGGCAATCCGAAGCTGTCCGAGGCCGCTCCGAGGCTACCCGAGGCCGCTCCGAAGCTGTCCGAGGCCGCTCCGAAGCTGTCCGGGAGCCGCGCGAACAAGAGGCCACCACCGTGCGCCTGCGGCTGGGCCGGGCGCCAGGGCTCCCCGGCCTCCGACGGGCACACACCACCTCGGAGCACCACCACCAGGGTGCCTTGCCCCTGGAGCTGCGCGGAAGACCTTCCGGCCTGCAGCCGGGAGCTCTTCGGCGTGAGAGGATGAGGAGGAGCAAGAATAGGAGGAGGAGGAGGAGGAGGAGGAGGGGGAGGAGGAGGAGAAAAAAGAGGAGGCGGAGAAGGAGGAGGAGGAAGAGGAGTATGAGAGGAGGAGGAGAAGGAGAGGGAGGGTGTGAAGGAGAAGGAGGAGGGGGTGGAGAAGGAGAAAGAAGGCGGGGGAGGAGGAGGAGGAGGCGGGGGAGCAGGAGGAGGAGGAGGAGGAGGAGGAAGAAGAACGGGAGGAGGAGGAGGAGGAGGACGAGGCGGAGGAGGAGGAGGAGGAGTAGGAGGAGGAGGAGGAGGAGGAGGGGGAGGGGGGCGGGGTAGGAGGAGGAGGAGGAGGAGGAGTAGGAGGAGGTGGAGGAGGAAGAGGAGGAGGAGGAGGAATGGGAGAAGGGATGGGAGGAGGACGCGAGGAAGGGAGAAAAACAGTACCATCGTCCTCCCCACACCCCTCCCTGAGACCGAGGCCAAGACGAATTTGAGATCAGGCAGGGGCAGGTCGGAAAAAACAATGAAATCACTGACGGGCTCGGATGATGCCTCGGGGCGCCGCGGGCGCTCTGGAGCTCACCGGAACGATCTTAGAGCGCTCCGGAACTTTCTGGGTCGACCGTACAACCGAAGATATAATCAAGAACATCATCGTTTAAGAGATCGGAGCCAGGTTCACGGGCGCTTCTTAAACCAAGCGTTTTGCTTTCCGTCGCGGCGTGGCAGATGCAGACCGCACGCGCGCTCGGGCACGCTTCTGAAAACAAGCCTGGGCCCAATCTGTCGTGCATGCTGGAGGGGCCAACGTGCTCAAGAGACTGGGCCAGCTCTGCGGCAGGTCAGTTCAAGAACGCTGGCGGAGCTCTGCGGGCGGAGGTTCCCTAGTCAGACGATTAGCTGCACAAGGACCCCCGACCCTGTGGGAGGGGACCTGAGTTAGGAGGGCCAGAAACATGAGGAATAAAGGGTGCTTTCTGCAGATGTGCCAAACCAAACCGCCCACATCTACTACCCGCGAAGACGGGGACCCAAGGAAGGCCATGTCTTCATCGTGCTGTTCGGGATCGGGGCTCTTTTGTTTTGCGCAGGGGCCGGCCGTCCCGGCATTCCCATAGGCCTACCACGACATGTTCTTACAACCCAGAACTGTTCTAAGAACAACGCAGTGTTCTTAGAACATAAGCCCGTTGTGTTAAAAAAACAACCGCTCCAACCAGAAATGTTATGATAACATCTCGCTGAAGCCACACAAGATTCTTAGAACATAATGTGATAGGCCTAGAGGCGAACCAGGACGCTTCGCCACTGCTTGATTGTTCTCGATGATCAGATGCTCGACTGTCTTTGTCCTATAGTTAAGTTGGGCGTGTCCCCCTGCAGGAGGATTTTCGACGAACAATAACAAATACCCCAGAAAGGCAAACAAATACCCCAAAAATAGTCCCCCGACAATTGTTTGACGATTGTTTTTTGCTATTTTTGGTGTACATTTTTATTTGTTGTCGAAAATCCCCCTGTACGGGGGACAGGCCCGACTTAATCCTATAGGCCTGCCTGCCTCCCCCGCCCCCCCCTCGAGAGCAGGAGGCGGCCGCGCCCCGAGGAGCACGGGCCCCGGACTCCCTGGGGGCCTTCCCTCTCGGGCCGGCTTCCCTCGCCTCGAGACGCCTCACCGCGCGGCCCGTCACCGCACCGGCCCTGGGGGGCCCCTGGGAGGCTCCCTGCCGCCCGAGACGTCCTCGGAGAGGGGCTCGGGTCCCAAGACCGTGCCCCAGACACCCGGCGTCTCGATTTTTTCGAGACGCGGGCCCCCGACCTCTCGACCACTTCCCCGGGACCGGATCTTCATCCCGAGTCGTTTTCTGACGGTCCCGAGGCCCGGTAGGGGCCCCGAGAGGCCGAACATTAGGACGAATCGCCGTCTCGATTTCTTCGAGACGCCCGATGTTTGGGGCGGTGACCCCGACGCCCCACCGGCTCATCACGCGGTGTGGCCACCGCCCCGCCTGGGGGCCCCCCGGGCCCTCGGGGGGCCCGCGGAGGGGCCCCGCTTGGGAGCCCCGCTTGGGAGCCCACGCCTCCCGCGGGCCCCTCGGGAGAGAGCGGGCCCACACGGACTCCCATGGGGGGCCTGCCCTCGGGCCAGCTTCCGTGGCCCCGCGCCGCCTCCTTAGGGAACCGAGCAATGACATGAGCATAAAAACTCGGAGGTCCGCGCGGATTTCTTGGATCCGCGCTGGACCCCCCTCCCTGGCGCGCGGAGCGCGCCAGGGGCGGCGCCGGAGGCGCCGCCAGGGGTCCCCAGCGCCGATCCGAGAAATCCGCGCGGACCCCCGAGTTTTTATGCTCATGTCATTGCTCGTGTCCCTACTCCTGGTTCCACCTCCCGGGGCCCGCGGAGGGCCCCGGGGAGGCCAGACCTGGCGGCGGCGCGCGCAGGAGTCGTCGTCGTCGTGGGATCGATCGTCTCGGGGTCGTCGTGGGATTGTCTTGGGGCGTCTTCGAATGGTGTGTCGGTCTTGTTCGGGTCGCGAGGTGGTCTCGGGATGGCATTTCAATCGTACTGGGGTGTCATTGTCGATTCGGGGTCATCCGCGCATTCATGGGGTCAACTTGGGATCATACCGGTTTCGTTTCAGCGCGCATCTTCGGGCCACCCCGGGGTCGCGGGGTCGCAGTGGCGCCCAGGACGGGGGCGAGCCAGAGATTCTTAGATTCGAACTAACCGGAGGGCAGCAAGGGGGTACAAACCTCCTCGAACATCAAACGCAAGTTTTCAATGCGGATCGACGCGCGGAACGAGGCCCGCGGGGTCTGATTTGCATTTGCAGTCGCCAGCTTCGGTGCAGATATCGAGAGTTTTGGGTGTCTTGGGGCGCCGCTACGTCGCGGGAAAAACTTGCGTTTGATTTCGAGGAGGGGTGTATTGGGAGGGGGGAGGCTTCTTAGAAGGAGTCTGCTTCTGAAAAGACGCCGGCCCTACATCTATAGATAGTGCTCGCGCCTTCTAAGAAGCAGGGATGCTTCTAAGGAGCCTCTCCCCCTCCCCCTACCCCAGTCTGCGCGTGGCTGACAAGCGGCCAAAACACTCTGGCCCTGTCTCCCGCGTGACCCGTTCCAAGACCCCCGACGGCAATCAGAACGTGAACTCTGGAGGTCTCGACCCGTTCCCGGGGACGGGCTTTTCATCCCGAGTTTGTTTTGACGGTACCCTGGCGTGGCGAGGGTTCCCGAAGACCGAAACTGTCAGAAACCGTCCGCCGCGATTTCTGCACGACGCGATGGGGTCTGGGAAGCAATAGTGGGGTTCTGGCGCAGGGGGGGAGACATCGAGCTATAATCGGCGACATATCTTCGATAAATCGGCGATAAGCTCCCGACAACGAATCCACACAGTCCTAGGCAGGGTGGGCTGTCGGGCCCCTTTCGGCGATCAGTGGGCGCTTGGGTGGCAATGCATCTCGCCCTGGGCCAATCCCCGTCCTCAGTGGTTTCCGGGGCATGACTCGAGCCTCCAGCGCCCGTTCGGGGCGATCGGAGGACCCCCCGGCGCCTCTCGGTGAGGCGCAGCTGCTGGAACGCACCTCGAGGCTGGAGTGCCGCCGAGAACCGAAGAAAACCTGAAGCCTCGAACAAGCCCCCTTAAAACATGTCTCCCCGTGAGACTATCCCCCCCTTCAGTTGCTTGAAAGAGAAGCGATCGGGGCAACGCCCTTTTGGGGGGACGGTGGGAGGTGCAATCGTTTTAACAGTTGTGCTACACGATTGCATCCACGCGCAAATTGCGCACCCAGACCGCAAGCAATTGGCGCCCATGCATGCCACAACCACTGCAATTACTACTGCACCTACTCTGGCCCCCCCCCAAATCTGTGCTACCCCTACTACTGCAGGTTCGTGCCGTGTCGACCCTGGCGTTGGTTCCTGACACCGCGCTGGATCGTTCAACCTTGAACGATCGGCCGTCTCCGCAACGTCCGATCGTTCAACATCGACCGATTCTGGGCCGCCGTCGGCGTTCAACCTTGAACGTCGGCGGCGGGGTCGCCGCCAGTCGACACGACGCGAACCTACCGTACTCCGGCTCAGAGTTGCCCCTGGCTTCACGGCGGCACCAATCCTGCGCCCGCGCGCTCGCCTGGAGGCGGCGGCCCGTCCGCTCTCGCGGGGAATCCGTGGCACGGCTGTGGCCCTCTCGAGCCACGACCGGTCCCCGCTGCTGCCGCCGGCGCCGGCGCCCTCGCCGGGGTAGGGAGGAGGGGGAGGAGGAGGCGGAGGAGGCGGAGGAGGCGGAGGAGGCGGAGGAGGAGGAGACGGAGGAGGAGGAGGAGGAGGAAACGCAGGAGGAGGGGGAGGAGGAGGAGGAGGAGGAGGAGGAGGAGGAGGAGGAGGAGGAGGAGGAGGAGGAGGAGGAGCAGACGGAGGAGGAGCAGACGGAGGAGGAGGAGGAGGAGGAGGAGGAGGAGGAGGAGCAGACGGAGGAGGAAGGAGAGGGGGAAGAGGAACATTGGTACGACTTTGGACGCGGGTCTTCTCCGCGCCGCGCAGCGCTGGCCAACAGGCAGCCTCCAAAATATGAGGTCTGAGGGAAGCGACCCCTTGGAGCGCGGCCGTGAGCGCAGGCAGGTGCATATAGTCGCCGATGTAGTCGATCCTGAGGTTCCGCGCCTCGAGGCAGATGTGGTGGCAGAGGACGAGGCGCTGGACGGTCGTCAACAGCGAGTGGTCCTCGTCGCAGTGGTCACCCATGATGGGCCTTTTTTCCACCGCGACCACCACCATAAGTTGGAGGGGGAGGGCGTCCTCCTCCTCCTCCTCCTCCTCCTCCTCCTCTTCGTCCTCCTCCTCCTCCGCCTCCACCTCCTCCTTCCCCCTCCAACTTATGGTGGTGGTGGAAAACAAGCCCATCAACCCAAGCCGAGGCGTGCCAACACCGTGGGCTGAGCAATAGCACGCGGTAGGCACGAGAGGTGGATGAGCCTGTCACGTTCACGTAGTGGCCAATGGCATCAGGTTGGCCTTCGCGCCCTAGCTTGCGCCTGTCGACCTTTGGGGCAACGTGCCCCTTGAGCTGAAGTGCCACCCGCCTGCTAAAGCTCGCATGAGCATCCACCGACACGAGGGATGGAAGTGAACGATAGCCGATCTTTAGCGTGAACCGTATTCTTGTAAATTATGTTGAAACGTCCTCTTCGCCATGCCACGACTCCAGCCTCTTGCGAATGGTAATTCCCAAACTGTCTCACATCCAGAGAGCTTTCAGCGCGCGGATGAAGTGGCGCTGGGGGATCGGTCAGATTCCTTTCGCACTCGCATCCTGCACCTCTCTGTGAGCGACAATAGCAGCACGAACAATATCATGGTAACGGTGCTGTGGTTCGCAATTGGTGACTCCTTCGGCGAACGCCGCATATCTTTGAACGATCGAGGTTTGTTCAGCCCAGCACGGGCGTGACCATCTTCCTGAGGCCCAGTCCACCCACCCGCAGACAGTCTCGGATAACTGGGCTAATCGAGCGCGCACAATGGTTGCCGCTGAGTCAGCGCGAGCGAAGCCGCCCTCCACATGGTACACAACGAGTTGGTCAGAAGCGACTGAGGCGAGGGGCCTGGCATATAGTTGTTCACAGAGAGCGAACGCGAGTGAATGTCCACGAGGCGGAACACACTGGGCGGCACTCGAAGAATTGCGCGTGCAGCACGGCTTTCTTCACGCCTCTCGGGAGAAGGAGTTCGAAGAACCGGGCCAGGGAACGGAGAACACCGACGGCCGATGTTTGGCAGCGCCTCACATTCGCGTCGATCGGCGCGGAGGAAGCCCCGATAAAGACGACCCCGTGCCGCCGCTTCGAGCCCGCAGCAGCCCGCGGGGTTTGATCGCCAGCAGCGGGCCCGACATGGGCGCCAAGGTAGACGCCTTCGGCGGCGACCTGGACGCGAGTCCATTCGGGGAGGCTGGAGCGGCCGACCAGGTGAAGGGCCCTCCAAGTGAGCCCGGGATCCCCTCCCGGGACGGGCGGACGGCGGGTAACGGTTCCCTTCCCCCCCCCTCTGAGTTTTCTCTCGGTGATGGGTCCAGGTGTAACACTGGGGGGAAAGTAAATCCATGGGTCTTCGGATTGTGTTTCCTGCTTTGGTTGAGGGGTGCTGGGGCCATGGACGAGGAACCGGCTAACCCACACCCCTCAGGGGGCGCCCCCTCTGGATCTCTGGTGGGGGACGGGCTGTCGGTCTCTGGCGGTGGGTCTCTCGGTTCGTTCTCGGCTCAGCCGTCCCCGGAGTCTTCGGGGAACTCCTTTGGGGGCGGGACTCCACACACCCCACCCCCACCATCAGGCGGTAGAGGCGGTTGGGTCTCCGGACCTTCCTCGGCTGCCAGGGGGAATGGGGATCCCGGCTACGCCACTGGCCCCGGCGAGCCGGCAGGGTATCTGGGGGGAGGGGCGGCTGTGTCGGCTGACGGTGGCTCTGGCCATGGTCAGTCGGGGCGGCCGCCTCCACAGTCACCCGCGGGACAGGAATTTGAGGGCCACCAAGAGAGTAGGTCCCATAGGAGGGCGCAGAGACGCGAGCGTCGGAGGACGGCTCGCGAGGCTCGCAAAAAGGAGCGTAGATTGCGAAAAAGGTCTCAGGCAATGCATCGCCTACCCATTTTGCGTAAGCAGAGGCGCCCCCGCGCTCAGACCCTCGTTGGGGGCACTTGGAACACTCGTAAGTTGGGGGCTTTCGGGGGGGTGGGGGACCCGGAGATGAAGATCCAGTGTATCCTGCCCCTCCTTGCGGTCCGTGGGTGGTCGTATGGTCTGCTCAGTGATCTGGCCTTTGCTCACAATGGCGTGCGGGAGTATATCTGCAGAGGACAGAAGTGGACTCTGATCATCCGCGGCCGCGTGGGGATAGTTTTGAACGCGAGGCTAGCACGGGTCTGGAGGGAGGGGGGGGGCAAGGTTGTAGTGTGAGGTGGGCACGAGCGTAAAAGCACCAGGTGCATGGGATTGATTTTTCCTCGCAAAAGTTTTCGGCGAGGGCTGTCCTTGCTGTGCGTGTACGCACCGGTGTCAGGATCCCAACAATCAGAGGCGCGAGAGCGCTTCTACGACGAGGTCCGCTGGGTGGAGACACGGAGCAGGGGAGCAGATAATCTCCTCGTGGTGGGTGGCGATTGGAACGCTGAGGTGGGAAGGCCGCAAGACGTCGATGAACGAGCGGCTTTGGGGGTCCACGGGGAGCGTCGTCGGACGGCAACGGGCGTGGACCTCCTGGCGTTCTGTCAGGAAGAGGCGTTGGTCGTAGCAAGTACGGTGTTCGCCCAGAGGCTGCCCGGCACCTGGCTCCACCCACGGTATCGGTCTTGGCACCAGCTAGACCACGTGATGGTCCGACCGAGAGACCGTAGTCAGCTTCGATGCGCGCGCACCTTGCACTACGGCCCCGGGGGGCTGCAGGGGGAAAGGAGGGCAAAACGCCGAAAACGCCGTCGCTCGGACGACGCGTGGCACGTCCGAGAGGACGGAATCGTGGCTTGGTCCGCGTATACGGACCACGAGCCGGTGGAAGTGGGAATTACCGTGAGCGGTAGATGGTTGTTTCGTGGTCGTCACACCGACAGCCGCCCAACGGTCCCCAACTACTCGGCGATGCGGGGGTCATCCCCGGCGGCTAAAGAGGCCCGGGCTCACTACGGGCAGGTCTTGACGGATATGCTGCTGAATCTTCCGGCCCCTTTGGGGTGGAAGGAACTGTGCGACATCGCTCGTGCAGCGGGATTACAGGTATTGGGAAAGCGCCAGGCCAGGGCGCAAGTGCCCTGGTTACGGGGTCGTGAAGAGGAAAAGAGGAGCCTCGACGAGGACATGGAGCGCGCCAGGGTGGCTTACGCCCTTTCAGACGACGCCGGGGCCCCTGCGGCCCCCGCGGAACGTCGTAGAGTAGCCCGGGAACGGCGTCGTACCGTAAGGCGGTGGGAGCGAGAGTATTGGACCGACATCGGCGCGCAAGCGTCTGCAGCCGCCAGGATAGGAGATCAATCGGAGCTCTTCCGACTGTTCGGTGAGCTCAAGAATCGGCGCCATGATCGTCGGGATTCTGGTGTCGTGTCGACAGAACATGTTGACAAAGGAAGAGAAGCATGGCGCAAATTTGTTGCGCAGATTTCTGGTACGATTGGGGCGGTTGCCGACCACGTCTGGCAAAACATCCCCCTGGCTTCCACCGCCGAACGGTGGCTCGCAGAGCCACCCAACGACATCGAACTAGACCAGCGTGTGAGTAAAATGAAGACAGGGCGACAGACGGGGGGGGGCGGATTTGTGTCGGAAGCGCTAAAATATGGAGGTGCGGCGTTCCGCGCGGCGGTATTCGATCTCGCCAGGAAAATGTGGAATTGCGCGGTGACCGCAAAGGACGGAGAGGAAGCGGCTGCTTGGCCCCGCGAGTGGCGAGAAGCGTTGGTTATTCCACTCTGGAAGCAGAAGGGGGCCCGAAAGGACAAGGGCACGTGGCGGGGTATTACCCTGCTGTCCGTCGGGTCCAAATTGGTTGCGCGGGTGGTAGAGTCTCGCATAAGTGTGTGGTCCGAGCGTTGGATGGGAGAGTCGCAGTCGGGATTCCGGCGCGGCCGGGGCACTGACGACGCTTTACAGGTCACCCGCCGCCTGGTGGAGGAGGCCGCAGCCCTCCGGAATGAGGAAGCTGTAGTTTTCGACTTCTTCGACATTGAAAAAGCCTACCCCCGCGTTTGCCGGCCTGCTCTGTGGACCTTATTAGCGCGCAGAGGGTGCCCCGATGTCATGCTCAGAGTCTGCAAAGCCCTACACAACCACACCGAGTGTCGGGTCCGGGTGCTAGGTGGTCTGTCGGACCCCTGGACCCCCGAAAGAGGACTCAGGGAGGGGGATCCGTCCTCCCCTCCCCTCTTTAATGTGCATCACGACGCGGTGATGACGGATTACAGAACCCGCCACAAACGCGCGGCTGAGGCATTAGGGCGTGCCCCAGGACTCGAGATCACGTACCAGGTAGATGGCCGATTGCAAAAGAAAGCGCGGAACCGATTACAGTCGCACGTATCCGACCATCCTAAGGACCTGGGATTTCGTCGGGTCGTCATCGGCGACGTGGGGTTTGCAGATGACACCGCCATTGTGGGGTTTGACTCTGAGATGCAAGTAGCCCGCCCCCTCCTTATCGAAACAATGAAGGATTGGGAGGAGAGGGTTAATCAGGGAAAAACAGAAGAGTTACGATTTCCAAAGGATCCACGCATGCCCTATGACGTGAGAAGGGAGTTCGAGGTTAGCCAGCTGAAACATATTGGAGTCATACATCTGGAAACTGGTATTCGGAGCGCCGACACAGCCCGGCGAGCGTCGACCGCCCGCCTGCTTGTTCAAGCCATCGCAAAAGGCTGGGCCGTGGGCGCGGCACGCGGCCGGGGCAGGACCAGTGGTGTAGACCTCCCCACGAGATTACAGGTGCTCGAATCTTGCGTTGTGGGCCGCTTGCTTTACAGCTGTCGTTCTCGGGGGTGGACAAAGGAGGAGCTTCGCAAGCTCCAGAGAGTGGCAAACTATGCGGTCAGGCGAGCGTTCGGCATGGATGTGTGGAATATGAGGGAGCACCACGTGACAGATGCCGCAATGCACGCCGCGGCCAAATGGAGGACCGTCGAGGATCAGGTCGCCAAGCTGTCCCTGCAGTGGCTGGGGCACGTCGCTCGGATGCCAACATGGCGCGCCCCAAAGCAGGTCCTCTTCGGTTTTATATCCAGCCGCGGTGGAGGAGTCGAGGAGCACACGAATCCGAACGGTCAGATCCCGTGGCTCCGAAGGTGCATCCGAAAGCTCACGTTTGACGAAATGGACTGGTTTCGCCGGGCCCAGTCCCGGAAGGGCTGGCAGAGCTCCATCAATAAGGCATTCCCCACGCAGGGCCGTGACGTGAACCGACGGGCGCTGTTGCGCGCGTGGAGACCAGGCCTGGCGCTCCCGGAAGCGGATCCTCCTCCTCCCCCTCCTCTTCCTTTTCCTCCTCCTCCTCCTCCTCCCCCTCCTCCTCCTCCCCCTTCTCCTCCCCCTCAGGGAGGGGGTCCGCCTCCAGAGGGCCGGGTATACGCGCGCCCAGCTTGTTCACAACAGTTCACGGCGGGGAATCAGTTGTCATGTCATTACGACAATGAACACTGTGTGCGAGACCCGACTCTCGTCACATGGGCGTCACACCAGTGCCCCGATTGCAAAAGATGGTTTTCTAGATAGGCTCTCCGCCTCCACAAGCCACAATGTCCAGCTAACTTAGAATTTCGTCGGGCACTCCAAGTACATCACACTTTTGTCATGGGCCCTGTGCGGGGGCCCTGCCCAGCCCCTCCGCGGGGCTGGTGGGTTGCCACAGATGGATCTGGCAAGGATGGAACAGCGGGGTGGGGAGCAGTGATTTTTCGCTACGATGGTCCGGAGACCCCTGGTCAGATTCCAGACTTCGTGCTCCACGCCCCAGTCGTTACCGCTCAGTGGGACCACTGGTGGCTAGGGGCACGCGATGAGACCAATAACGCTGCTGAGCTTTCGGCGATAGGCGAGGTTATGAAATGGCTGTTAGAAGCCCCCGATCCTGGGGGCGTCCCGGTGCACATCCGATACGACTCGGTATATGCAGCCAATATGGCGCAGGGTATCTGGACACCGGGCGCCAACGAAGAGCTGGCCCAAGCCGTCCGTGAGCTCACGCAGGAGGTCCGTCAGAACCGTCAGATCACTTGGGAGCACGTATATGGCCACACAGGCGCCCATGACAATGAGCTGGCCGACCGGGCTGCCGATGTAGGAAGGCGGGGTTTCGCCTCAGCGCAGTCCGGCCTGTGGTCGGCGCCGCCGCCAGCGGTTTGCGATCTATCTTATG